GCAGACACCAGACGGCTGGCACCAAAAGAGAAGAAAAGGTTCCAAAAGGGGAAAATCACCAGGCTTCAACTGCCACTCCAATGTGAGGCTAGAATGAAAGAAAACATGTAGTACTTGTCTTTGTAGGACTGGCTTATTTACTTAATATGATGCTTTTCAGTTTAATACATTTTTTGGGTAAATGACATCATTTTATTCTTCTTAATGGCTGAGTAAAACTCCACTGTGTATATATACCACATTTTTTTGTTCATTTATCTACTGACTACCTAGGCTGATTCCATAATTTGGCTATTGTGAATAGTGCCTCAATAAACATGGATATACACATATCTCTACAGTAAGCAGACTTTGATTTTGAGGGATATAGACCAAAAGTAATGTGACTGGATCATATGAGTATTCTATTTTTAATTTTTTGAAGAAACTCCATGTTGATTTCTGTAGTGCTTGGACTTAATTACACAGGGAATATACTACTGTTTTCTGTAAGGAGGGTCCTGTTTGAGTTAAGAAGTGCTGTGTGACTCCCTCTTCCCAACATGCAAGTCTGGGTATAGGATGGACAGCCACAGCATGGGAGTCCTGGCAGACAGGACCTATGAGAGGCTCAGGATGGGGAAGCAGGGCTCTGTCTCTCCTTGTTCCCAATCTGCCCCCAGCACCCTTTGTTCTGTCTTCGCCATGTGGGTGGACTTTGCCCCTGATGATTTTTATGCACACAAGAACAGAAACAAGCTGAATGAACTTATGCACTATCAAATGCTCAACATGGCCTCCTCAGACCTGCTCCTCCACTTACAAGTTCTTTAGAGCAGCTGGAGGAGCCCCTGACAATCAGAACAAGGAAGGGAGGGAGGAGTCTTTGTATAGGCACCTGAGAGCTTGTGATAGGGATGGAAACAGGGCCCCGAGGGATGGTCTTCCCAGGCTGGTGATTGGCAGGAGCTCTTAGTACTCCCCAGCTTGGCAAAGTGTCTTTTGATAAGATATTCTCTTCCAGGAATTGTCTGCTCTCAGTTTGAAAGCACTCAGCCATAGCCATGGGTGAGACAAACCCTGCCTTCTCATCAAAGTTCAGTCTCAACTCAAATGCTACAACTTCCTGCATTACATCCTCATGGCAGTTGAGACACACCAGAACTTCTAGAGTTCACTCTAATCCTCATGTACCTATTACCATTCCCAGATTTTTGTCGACATAATGCAGTCACCCCTGAACCCATGCTAAAGAAGCCCCCAGTGATGTCCCTGGAGCTGACAGGTGGACATCAGGAGCCATCCTTGCACTGCACCAAGCATGTGTGGCTGGAATGTGATTATTTTCATTTGTAGAAAGGCCACAATAGGTTTTGATTTCTACAGACACCCTATGGAACCAGTGTCCAGTTGAGAACTCAGGAAGAACATCCTGTCTCATGTGTGGTGGTAGATTCCATTGTGCACCCTGAGTTAGCCTTCCTGCCTGCAGGCAACTTGGAAGAAGATCTAGTGTTAGATCTTGCCTCCCTCCTCCCTGGGCAAATGCCTATTTTACTTTTTGTGATGATTTACTTGTTATTGTTTTAATGGTATTAAAATGTCCATGTTTAAAAAAAAAAAAAAAGAAGTGCTGTGTGATCAGTACTATCCATTCATAGTAGGTAAAGGTAGGCTCAAGGAACCCAAGTCTGGATGGGCCTGGCCTCAACCTCCTTGGCCTCCTTGGGAAGTTTGCCATGCAACACTATCCCACAATAGGTAGCAACTCTGTTAGTCACAATAGGTAGCAACTCTGTTAGTCCTCACCATGGCACAGCCTTTTGAGTCATTAAGATAGTCATTCTGTTCCTAGCTAAAGCTGACTGTAAGCTAGAGATTTAGAAAGGAACTGCTGGGATTTTAAGGACTTACTCTTCTAATTAAAGAGACCTGGAGTTAATGGCTTAGTGGTGATTCTGTAATCAGGCATGGCTACACGTGGTTTAGGAGGTTTGCAGTAGGAACTTAAAGAGCCTTAGGGACAGGGGTGTGACTATAAACAAGCCTAGGAAAAGAACTTCTGAATCCAAAGCTAAGAATGTGGTGTCTATTAAGCCATGAGAGATAGGGAGGGATTTTGAGCAGTAGCCTGAGACAAAACATTGGGTTGTATCATCTGGCCCTGGAAGTGACTGGGGTAGAGGTGATAAAAGAGCAAAAGCTCAGGATTCAACTTGGTTTGGAATTTATCACATACTAGTTGGATTGGTTTGGACAAGTGAATTGATCCATTCTGAACCTCAAGTGTTTTGTGCAGCTGTTATCAAAATTGACTTGCCTGTGGAGTCCCTGACACAGAGGATAGACTTAACAAGGATTAGCATTTTTTTTTTCCAGTTGTGGGGCTTGTACACAAGGCCTTGCCACTGTCCCTGAGCCTCTTTGTGCTCAAGGCTAGTGCTCTACCACTTATGCCACAATGTTCCTTCCAGTTCCTGAGTGGTTAATTGGAGATAAGTGTCTCGTGGGGACTTTTCTGCCCCTGCTAGCTTCAAACTGTGATCCTCAGAGCTCAGCGTCCTGAGTAGCTAGGATTACAGGCATGAGCCACCAGTACTACATTTTTATAAGATTAGCATTTTCATAAGAATAATTGACATTACTTCATTGATATTAGACAATACTTTGTCATGTTCTGCCTGATTGCCATCTAACTTATTCCTATGTACTTTTATTACTTTTCACTATCATATGTCATTGTCACCTCATGAGTGTATCTGCCAACCACAATAGACAGTTCCTTAAGGAGAGTGATTACTATTTCCTAGTGCTGTCATCAACCAGAGTGTCCTTTCATGTATCATGAATGCAAGAAAGCACTTCCTCATAACCCGAGTGCTTCGTAAGTAGAGGATGTGTAGTGGCCAGCTATCAGTGACAGTTAGGAAGTGGCTATTCTCATTAGAGTGGCTGGCTTTGAAGGGATGTTTTCCAGAATATTAATTGGGTGAAACAAGTTCATTCAAACAGAAATTTGTATTCTGCTAAGTCATGACCCCTGGGCAAAGTGAGGCAGCCACAGAAGCTTTGGAGATTCTTCCCCTCTGCTCCCACTGCCTCAGGACTCCCAAGATTCCCTGTAGTCCAGCAGATGGAAAAACTCAACTATAAAGGTGTAGTTTGTATTACTTTGATGCAATGGATTTGTTTCCCACAGAGAAAGTCCATCAGCTAGTAGTTTCTATTCCTTTAATAGAAATGAAGGGAGAGTATTCTTTTTAATATTATGTTGGTACTAAATGTTTAGACAGCATATGCCTTATAACCTTTTGAAGATATATTATTCTCTTTCATAGAATAAAAGCTTCTGTGCCACTGCCTTATGAGTTCTGCAAGTTCACATTATGTAAATATATGTAATAAAATATTTACTTAGGGTTTCCATAAAAATGTCCAAAGCAGAAAATAAGAGAGTGTCTCTTTGCTGGTTTTAGAGGCTCTGCTGGGAATTCTGAATGAAATTCAAGCCTCTCGAATATGTTTTGATTGGCCTTTTTCATGTTTTATCTCCTGTAATGAACTCTTTGTCAGTTTGTCAATTTTCACTAAGGACAGAAAGTTCATGTGTAGTAACAATACAGAATCCAGATTTTAAATTATGGTTTATAGCATGATGTAATAATCCTTTCTCTCTTTTCCTTTAGTCAATATTTACCTGCAAGGCCAATATATTATAATCCTGACTTCAAAAGAAGATACTTTATTTTACCTTTCCCAAGTGTTGTTTTTTGATACTTGAAATATCAAAACTAGAAGCTGAGCTCTCTGTGATTTCTGGCCACAGTTGGTTGGGGTCAAGTTCCTCGATCATTGTGAGCAAGTTCACTCTTCCCAGAGACCCAGTGACACAGCTGCCTCCCTGTGAGAGTGAGGTCACTGAATGGAGTGACAGGCTGGTTTCTCCCAGATCTCCAGACAGCCCTTCCCCTGTAGGAGTCAAGTCCAAGGCATTATTACTCTGTAGCAGAAGCTACTCTCTTAAACGACTTTAGTTTTCCCTAATGTATAAAAGTTATAAGATTGGACAGAAGAACTGGAAAAAATGCCCTGTAGGAGTATCTCTGAGTTCAGAGCAGATTAAAAATAGGAAATATTAAATTCTTTTCCTTCCCAGAGCCCCATATCCACACTAGATGTTTGAAAAACTGAAAGAATTATCCCCCAGTGAAAAGGACTAGGATGATAGTAAAGATCTAAAATCCTGCAGATAAGATGTCTGGTTCTTTAGGATTGATCTTCCAGATCTGCAAAGATACACATGGGGATTTGTGAATAAGGTCTACAAATCCAACTGTCTGTCCATCAGGACTTACAGTGAGCCCTCAGGTAGACTCAGATCAACTTCAGCTGAATGAGGCCATTTTGAATCTCCCTATAGATTTTATTTTTAATTGGCTTGAATATGTGGCAAAGGTATTTCCTGGCAGTTCAAGACTTCTGGTGCTCTTAGTATCTGGAATCTCAGGACAAAGACTCTCTTCCTATGCCAAGACCAGTCATTGTCGATAGGGTGGGACTTAGTAGAATTGTATCAAGTGTATTATTCTTTAGTTCAAGAAACTTCAGCCTTGTACATGTATCTTCAACGTGTCTGTCTGTCTTTGATGCTGTCTTCAAAGTATATGCTTATTTTACTTACGTATTTTTATAGTCTGTTCATTTTGTGTATTTTCATATGCACATATATAATTACATAGATATATATGCATACATATGCATATGTGTTTGTGTTCATGTATTTCATAACTGATAGATGAATTATAATATGTTCAAGGGTAAATCATAGGTTTCTAACTCATGATTAGGAAAGTGACACTAGTGTTGGTCACAGGGCTTAGGAGAAGTATCTGGAACCACCACTCATAGGCCATGCCTGTGGAAAGGACATGTGATCATACAGGAGTTACCTGGCCTTCCCCTCCAGCCCTGCCTCCCCCCCTCCCCCCCGCAGCCTGATGATTTTTCTTGTACATTTATAGGCACCTTCGAAGTGGGCGTCCATATTGCTGATGTGAGTTATTTCATTCCTGAGGGGTCCAGCCTGGATAAGGTGGCTGCTGAGAGAACTACAAGTGTCTACTTGGTTCAGAAGGTAAAAATGAGTCTCCAGTTTCTTAGATTTAAAAGTATGCTTTCATTTAGTGTTTTTCCCTGCTTTTCCTTTACTTCTCCCTTTTCTTTCTTTCTTTTTTTTACTTCTCCCTTTTCTTAAAAAATATATATGAAGAATAGTCTTATGTGAATCTTTGTACCTAATAATTTCTGAAGAAAAGTACTTATCCTGGGAGAGTGTCATGACACATTTCCTAAAAGGCCAGAAGAAGACACAAATTTTCCTCTCTGGCCTCACCTTGGTGTGGCTCTGCCATATAAGTATCTCCAACAGCGATCAACTTCAGAAAGAAATGAGGGAAAATGCTTTCAAATGGTTATTCTAAAGCAGGGCCCAAGAAATTCAGCCCACACTAGTCATCAGTGTTTGTGCAGTTTGGAGAAACAAGGTAACCAGGAGGAACTGAAGCTTTTTCCTCTAGACCCAACTCCACTGTTCTGCTAAGTCAGTGTTCACGGACCTCTCCCTACTCCCCTGTGAAAGGTGGAATTGACTAGACCATCTTCAGATTTCCATTCTGTACTGTAGCTGTAACCATGAGAATCCATCCCTTTAACAAGTATTTATAACAAGTACCAGGTCCTGCCAGACATTGCAGAAGGCTCTGGATTTAGTGATGAATACAAGAACACACGTGGTTATTTCTACCACTCTGCCGTTGTTGCAGTTTACAAATTCTTCTGCCTTTCTTTCATGCTTTCTAACACTATCTGTCTGCTCACTTAGTTCACCTTACGTTTTTGGTTGTCTTGACTTTTACTTTCTACCTGGATTCTGTGAACTCAGTAGTTAAATGTGGATCTCTAGATAGCCTGGCTCAAATCTTTCCTCCTCCCTCCCTAGCTCTCCCTCCCTAGGACCTGCCTTCTGGTATTTTCTCATTGACTGTACTAGGGTGAGAAGTATATCTCACTACCCACCCTACATTCCAAGGTGCTCTGAAAGCTGAATGCCATTTTCTTGGCTCAATTTCTCAGGAACCAGAGGCCAGTCCAAGTTCCAAGCCATCACTATTCTGGGAACTTCCAAATATCGTCACCCAGGGAATAGCTCCTAGTCTTTCTCCTATGCCTAATTTGGCTGGTGGCTCCCACTGCTAGCATGTCTTTGTGCATACCCTTCTGGCAGAGGAAATACTACTTTGTTCTCTACCCTCACAAATAGCATGTCTTGGTAGTCTGTTGTATTTTGGCTGCTGACTCTCCAACTCCTGAGAAGATTCTCTTTGTCTACCTCCATTACATGGAACAGTTAATGGAGTACCAAGCTGTAGCTGTGAGGAAACCACCCACATAGAGAACCTGGGGAGGCCGTGAAAGGAGGGTTCTCTGAGCTCTGTGCCTTATAAGCCTATAGACCTTGGCCTGAGCATTTTTGGTATGTCTACAAGATAATCTTCCCTTCCTTTCTTACCTCCTTTCAGAAACTTGTTCTCTTGACTACCTGCATCTTAACTTCCTGCTGCTCCCCAGAATGGATTGTCCTATTGCAGATGTGTTGTATACATGCTGTTATTGTAGGCCTCAAGGGTGCTATGTACTGCTCAGCCTGGAAATATCCCACCCTTAGAGTGCCACCAAAGCTATCCCTATGTTCTCATTCTTGAACCCCGGCCATAGAAAGGCTGAGTTTCATTCTGGCAGCATACGGGGATAATGGACCATTTTACAAACTAGTGTTTTGCCTTCTGTTTGTTCCCCACTCATGCTATGATATTATCATTGACTGTTTCATGTCTATTCTGCTTTCTGGATTCCCTGGGCACTATCTTCCTACTCGCCACTCACTCTCACACCCTTGACTGAGATTCCAAGTACATAACTGGCCTGGGGCCTACAGCTTAGAACTGTGGCAGGCATACTTTCTTCTTATACCTGAAACCAAAGCTGTCTATCAACAGACCTCAGTTTACATTAGGGGTTTCTTGGCCTCTTCCTATTTCCTGTGGAACCCATATCAGGACTACTAGACTTTTAAGAACCCATCATCTTCTGTGCCTTTTTCTGGGTGCATAAAGTTAGGACACTTCCCACTGCAGTCATACCTTGCAGCACCTATGACACATGAAAGAGAAAATTCTGAATCGGGAGCTGCATAGTTATTCACGCCCAGGTTTGAGAATTGGAGTGGCCAGGACATTAGATGACCTCTGTTCACAGTGAAGAAATTATAAAAGAGCCAGAACCTTTAGGGACCATCCAATGGGAATGAACATTGATTAGCTAGATGATTAGAACTTCAGCTGTTCTCTACCAGTTTTTGTACTAAGCAGACCATCTTCTTAGTTGACTCCTGTGCCCTTCTTAAAGCTAGATGCAGTGCATTTGTCTCTATTGCTCACAATATCTCTGGCATCTGTGTTCAGTCTGTAGTAGGTGCAGGAGCTAACGGGAATTAAGCACACATTTCTGATCCACCAGTCTTTGAACACAGCATGCGAAGCTTCTTCCCTGATACGATGTCCTCCATGGCCACAAATTCGCAGCCCCCACAGTCTGTCATTGTGTGTATCAATGGCTCTTCTGGAGCACAGTACTTCAACAACAGCTTTCATCTTGTTTGTTTTTTCTTGTTTCTTTGTATTTTAATATTTTTATTCTCCTAATCTTTATACATAAACATAAAGGGGCCTACTAACCTGGTATTAGAATTACCTTTTGTATACAACCCTATTCTACTGACAGCATTCCTTGTCTACAGTTTCCTGCACTCCTTTACTTATATCAATGTCATCATTCATAGTGACTATAGCTTCCCTGTCTAATAGATTAGCCAGCTACCTAAGAAATCTTAGTTATCTAGGAGGACCCAAGATTTTCTGGCAGGCTGAGAAGGGGAAAAAGACTACACAGTCAGTTCTAAGTCTCCCTGAGAACATCTACACAGAAGACACTGTCTGCTGTTTGTAAATTTACACATACCCTCTGCTAGTACAAGAGCTTGTTCCATAGATCTTCAGTCATTAAATCCTCTCCTGCTTACCTTGCCCTTACAATTCTTCTATATTCCTCCAGCTCTGCCATACTTACTTGGACAAAATAAGATAAGGATCCCAAAACAAATATCTTTTAGTCTATGACATTTGATCATACCATAACTAATTTGCATTAACTTTGCTGGGAAAGATGTTAGAAAGATAGGGAAAATAGCTTCAACCTCAAAGATGCATAAAATGCATACCCAACAGCATGACTAAAATAGCAAGACAGAAAGGCTTATGATGTAAGACTGTCACAGCTGGGGAAAGGGAACTTGGTACCATAACTTTGGAAAACTGCTTCACAGTATCTTCTAAAGCTGAATGTATACATACCTTCTGGCCCAGAAGATTTAGAGATGTACCAGGTACAAACATGTATTATGTATGTGTATAACAAAAAATACATGAGAATGTTCATTGGAGCACTATTCAAGATAGCTAGAAATGGAAAACTACTTAATACCCATCCCTGTAAAATGAATAGATTACAATATGCTCACCAAGTGGGAGGTTAAAAAGCAAGAATGAATGAATAACAGCTCACACATACTCATAATGGTGAGAGAAACCAGACCCAAGAGCACACATTACACGATTCCATTTATGCAAGTTCAAAAATAGGCAAAGGTGATTGATTCTATTAGAATTCAGTGTGGTGACCTATGGAAGGAAGCAGGGCTCAAGCAGAGGGGCTGCCCATGAGAATTAGTCTGGATTCTGACTATGAGTGTTCAGTTTGTAAAAACATATCTAGCCTCTTATTTATAACCCATGTACTTCTCTGCATATATGGTATATTTAAAAATAAAAATTTAAAAATTTTTGAGGCTTTAGGGGAGGTGATTTCGAATCCATTTTTGCTCTTTTGACCATCCCATCTAGGTCCTCCTTCTTAGAGAGGTTGGCCCTCCTGAGAACATGGTTCTGACACTTGCATTTGACTCCACATAATGTGACCTCAGGGTGGAATCATCCCATTTACACTTTGCCTCAAAATGCTGTTGGCCAAACCTAGCCTTTGCCTGGCCCAGACCTCTTCATGAAAGAAGATGAGCCTCCGGATTCCTTTTATCTACAAAAACTGTAATATTATGATAAAGAGCACAATCGAAGCAATCTCTCACACTTTGACGTAATCCCTTTAAACTTTAAAGCTCACATCAGGTAAATAAATATGAAGCTTTTCTCCCTATTGGGAAAATTTTAACTCTGTTCTTCAAGTTTAGCTAAGAATTTTAGAAACCATTAGAGATTTTTCTTTTAAGCAGGTGGTTTTCTCTATCCAGCTGCTGCATTTTCCCTTTCTAACCAGGAATTCTGTTTCAAAATTAGAAATTGGGTTAAATAACTAAGCATAGTTTCTTCTCTGTTCTTTTTTGGTTTTGTGATCATCACAGTTCTTGAGTCTCTCTTTGGGACTGCCATTGGAACTCTGCTGCTAAGTTCTGGAGGTAGGGAGCTGTGAAGAAGAAAGGTCTGAGAACCTCTGCTGTTAGGCCCTGCTTCAGGTTTGGCAGGGTGCTCAGCACTGACCCACAACCTTGGACAGCAGCAGCTGTGCATTCTGATGCCTTTGAACCACTGCTCCGACCTTTCCTCCTACTCGTTTTTGTTTCTTAAAGGACTGTGTCCAGGAACTTTTCTGCTGTTTTCACTTTACTTTGCCTATAAAGATCTTCTTAAAAGCTGGATAAGCTGCCTTTCCCCTCTCCAGAGTCTCTGCTTTCTCATTTGGCAGAATCATTTTTCCCAAATTCATCACCCCGGGAAAGGAGGGTGGAGGTGGATGGGAGTTCTGGTTGATTTCCCATCTATAGGGAGTATGGCTCTGACTTCTTTTCATCCAGGCGTTGACCTATGAGTGACTGATGGTCAGAATTACAATCTAAGCTTGGTTTTGGGAATGATCCCATAGAGGCAGACAATATACAATGAAACCAATCTTGGTCCAAACTTCATCTCACTGACTTTTAAATGAAATTCTTTTTGCTGAGATTTT